GACACTCAACCAACTGAGCCACCTGGGCTCCCAACTCCTGGATATTTTAATCAGCTTGAGCTACCTTGGTGAATTGCCTTCTTAACATGCCTCAAAAGGAAACTGATTAGAACTTATTCTGAGTTGATGAAAGGTGTCTCTGGTGTCATTCACAACTTAACGGGATGACGGAGTGGATGATGTCTTAGGAAATTTTCAATATTTACTTCTCCTGCTTTCTCACCACTGATGAAATGATTCAGGTGCATTGTTAAAAGTTGGGAAAATACAGAACAGTATAAAGAAGTTGCCTGTAATTCCATTATATAAAAGAAGCCGCTACTTAACATTTCTGTACATCCTTCCACTGTGGCAGCGTTCATGCAAACTACTAAAACTTTCTGGATAATACTTGCTTATTAGGATGACCACTTTATGAGGGTCCCTTGAACGAAGCATAGTCTTACTGAACTCTTTTGAAGTTTATAAAATGGGGGTTTTTCTTACTACCTATCTGTAACTGTTGCTTTCCTCCTCCTCTTTATAGGAGTTGGTGACTAAGTACTCTCAGCAGATGGTAAAAGGAATGTTACAGTTACTTTCAAATTGCCCAGCAGAGACTGCACACCTCAGAAAGGAACTTCTCATCGCTGCAAAGCATATCCTCACCACAGAGCTAAGAAACCGTATGTCCACCTTGTCTCGGGATGTTTGTGCGGCCATGCTGGCGTGGTCCTGTCCCCATCTTTGGGGTGGGACCGCGGGTCTTTAGTTCCTTCAGATGTTTTAGGCTCCATGTGTCCTTCTTTCTGTATTGCTGTGTTGTGTTTACTTTTCCCCTTCCTTTCTCTGCCTCTTGCCTCCGCCCTCTTGGGCTGCCTCTCTTTGCCTGCCACCAGGTTTCTCTGTGCTGTCTGAACAGTCTCATAATTAGCGTGGTCGTTCCCTTAGCATAGCGTATGTCCTCAGCATCTCATGGTATTTCTCTGCCTTGTGGGTGCATATCTTTTGAAATGGCAAGTAGCTGTTTGCTTGTTGATTCATAGCCAGTAACCCTTGAAAGGTGAGAAGAAAACTGTTTTCTTCCTCCGTGCTGTGAAACAGCTTGGGGGATTGGTCCTGTTTTGATGCATAAGACTGATAATTGCTTTTGGCCAATCTGATAATTATATTTTTTCTGTCAGTTATTGATACATATTTTTTTTAATGTTTATTCATTTTTGAGGAGGGAGGCAGAGAGAGAGGGAGATACAGAATCTGAAGTAGGCTCCAGGCTCTGAGCCCAATGTGGGGCTCGAACCCACGAATCGCAGGATCATGACCTGAGCCAAAGTCCAGACCCTTAACCAACTGAGCCACCCAGGTGCCCCAATACATAATTTTAAAATATTTTTGTATTTGCTATGTCCAAATTCCACCCTAATTGTTTTGAGGGGGATAATCTTTTCCCCCAGTAATTGTTCAATATTAAGTGGGTTTTTTTTGCCTCTGGTTTGTAAATCAGAACATATATAAAACTAAGATTGGGCTTCTTTACATAATTCTTAAACATGAAGGGAAAGATACAGTTTGCATGCTTACACGTGAGCTAATATGATAAAGCTCAAATGTTTTTATGTTATTAAAATACAAGTTATGCATGTAGATATAGCTGAGTAGAATATAGATATTTTTAAAACCCTTTGTGTGTGAAATGTAACATAGCAAAGTGCACAAAAGAAATGTATGATTTGCCAAAAATTACAGAACCGATGTGCGTGAACATCACCCAGGATGAGAAATTCAGCGTCACCAGCACGCAAAGCCCCCACGTGCCTCCAGGGCTGAGGGCCATTGCGACTTGTCCAGTCACGGCTCCCTTGGCTGTATGTGCTTTTTCTCCGTGTTCATCTCTGAACACTGTTGAAATAGAAGAATTTTACACGGGACACTTTAAAATCTCTCCACTGCAGTTCTCAGTAACTGTTGGCATTCCTGCCATTTCGAGTGAGGAGGATCTGGGGGTGTCTTTGGGGAGCTGTGTAGCAGGTTTCTACTTGTGGAAACGCTGACAGAGCGCTTCTCGGACAGCCTGTGTTCCGTCCCCCACAGCCCAGCCGTGGGAAGCCACGCAGCTCGGGTTTGGTCTTCAGGCTGTGCCGCCAAGACGGGTGCATTCTGAGCTGCTGCTCTTGGGGTTTGACCACATCAGTCGTGTTGAATACAGCTTTTACACCTCCCTTGCACCCCCCCGACCCCTGCGCCCCGTGTCCTCCTGCCTTTTAAGTCTTTCTACTGATGGGCTTGATTTTTTTTTTTTTTTTTAACAAGCTGTTTTAGGATACTTTATTTTGAAAGTATCTTAGGTAGCAACATCACAACTTACAAAGGTGTCTATTTAAAAGACACACTTAATCACATTCGATATTAGTAGTATTATATATTAGTATAAAATACAAAAAATGTGTATACGTAAAATTTACACGTCCATCAACATTTTAAGGTATCTGAAATGATAGTAAATAAATAGTAACCCCTTTGCACAAATTCTGAAGAGCAGTAGTTTGAGAAACCTGGCTGTTTCACAAAGTTACCCATTTTCTGATTCTGGGTCATGGAGGGAATCTGGGAACCCATGCCTGCGCCTTAATTTCTTACCACTTCCTCCTCCCACTCTTTGCTCGTCCGTAGCCAGCCCGCCAGTGTTTGGTGCCTGAGTCCTTTGCATCTTTCCTTCTGTGCGTCCTTCCTATTGACTACCTCTGAGGACATTCCAGGCATGTCCCCTTCTCTGACTTCAGAGGGGCAGTTTGTCACTGCTTTCATTTGGTACTTGTCCCTGTGCTGCCTGGCTTTGGGAATTAGCCAGAGATGTGCTCTGTGCCTCTCTGCGTCTGTTCTGTCTTTGACCCTTAGTAGCTATTAGCTGGCGAAGGATGTATTTTATTTGACTTATCAAAGATGGCCACGGTGTCAGACTTGTTCTAGAATCTAAACATTCTCTGGATGTTTGTGGCCAGAGCTCCCGGCAGCGGGGCGGGGGTTGTGTGTATGGCAGAGAGACCTAAAAAATGTGGGTTGCTGCCCTCTGTGCACATCCTCAGAAATGTGAGTTGTCCCTGAGTGAAGATGAGCTGTTTCTACTCTGGTTGGCTCTACAGGCCCACAGGGGAGCAGGGAGGGGGTTTGGTGAGGATTCCACCTGTAGGATTAGAGACAGAACCCTGGTGAGCCTCACTCAGCCAGGGAGTTGGGACCTATGTCTACCAGAACCCTGCAAAATTTCGAGACTTTGGTACTTTATGTGGAGAAATACCCTTCTTTCTCCGTACTTCTCCATAATGAGTAAGCATGAAATGTTTAAGGAGGGGAGGACTCCAGGGCAGTGAGTAAAGGGGTGTTTAGAGGGTCTGCCCCTCTTCTCCAGGCAGGTGTGGGCCAATAGTGGCAGCTTTTTTTTCCCCCTAAGACTTTTAAGTGACCGCTATACCCAACGTGGGGCTTGACTCAACCCCAAGATCGAGAGTCACGTGCTCTTCCGGCTCAGCCCACCAGGCGCCTCGATGGCGGCAGCTTCTGAGGAGGATGGGGCGGGCCTGCAGTGAAGCGCTGGGGCAGGTTCTCTGCCAGGGGCCGGGAAGCTCCCTTGGTCTGGTTTGTCCTCCGATTCTGCATGTGATCCCAACCGTGTCTTTGACAGCACACGGCCCAGCAAAGCCGGGGTCTTTGAAATACGGCACACGTGACTTTGTCCCGCCCACGCGTCTCCCAGTCTAGATGGCTTGTTGACAGCAGGCTGGCTACCGTGAGGAAGCCTGCTGTGTCATGGGTGTAATGGGTGACGTGTGCACCTGGTGTTTGTGTTCTAGAGTTCATCCCTTGCATGGACAAGCTCTTTGATGAATCCATACTGATTGGATCAGGATATACTGCTCGGGAGACTCTCAGGTACGATATTCAGCCCATGAGGTCTGTTGGCTAAATCGGGGGGTTCGGGGTGGTGGGCCCTGGCCCTTCATGTGTGAGCGTTTCAACAGACGCTCTCCACAGACCTTTACTCTCCCGTGGGGATTTAGAATTGCGGGAAATTTGGAAACGCTTTAGGTTGGTTTTTGTGTGTTGGCTTAAAGGGAAGATTCAGAGTAGTTGTCTTGATGTCAGTTGTAGGCACAACTTGATCTGACTCGTATTGGTTTTTTTGTTGGGGTTGTTTTGTTTTGTTTGCTGTTTACATAATAAGTACATCTCTTTATTATAAAAGAATGTGTAAGTACCCAACGAGAAGAAAGAAGGGAAGAAAACAAACGTCTTTGTTCTACATAAGGAGTTCAAGTAACATGGATAATATTTTGGTGCATTTCCTTCTAGTCTTTGTTTTTTATTCATTTCATAAAATAAATGTGGTTGTGACCATGTTTCTTTCTAAAGGAGAAAATTAACAGTTTATTGTTTTTTACAGTGTAAAATGAGTCAACATTAGTAATTTTTTGGTTCTAATTTGGGAGCTGTGATAGATCTTTTGAAAAATAGGAAGAATACTTTGAATACGATGTAGACTATTCACTGTGATGGCCATGTAAAATTGTTACAAATACAAAGACACTTTTTTTTTATTTTTATTTTTTTAATGTTTGTTTATTTTTGAGACGGAGACAGAGTGCGAGTGGGAGAGGGGCAGAGAGAGAGGGAGACACAGAATCTGAAACAGGCTCCAGACTCTGAGCTGTCAGCACACAGCCCGACGCGGGGCTCGAACTCACGAACCATGAGATCGTGACCTGAGCCAAAGTCAGACGCTTAACCAACTGAGCCACTCAGGCGCCCCAATACAAAGACACTTTTTATGTAGCTTGGGGTTGAACCAGCCTGCAACTGGGCATCAGATGGTGTCACTCCTAGAAGACCTAGAAAGCGTGCCCCAGGTGCACCGCCCCTGTGCTGTGTTCCTGGGGCAGGTAGTGGGAGAAGTGGTGGCCCGCAGACGCGGCCCTGCGGGCATGTTGGGACGGATGCTCACTAGCGGGGGTCTCTGCCCACAGGCCCCTCGCCTACAGCACGTTGGCCGACCTCGTGCACCACGTCCGTCAGCACCTGCCCCTCAGCGACCTCTCCCTCGCCGTCCAGCTCTTTGCCAAGAACATCGATGACGAGTCCCTGCCCAGCAGCATCCAGACCATGTCCTGCAAGCTGCTGCTGAACCTGGTGGACTGCATCCGTTCCAAGAGCGAGCAGGAGAGCGGCAACGGGAGGGACGTCCTGATGCGGATGCTGGAGGTACTAGCTCTCCTGGGAGGTGTGGGCGTCCTGCGTGCTTTCATCCCAGTGCCCACTTCTGGACTCGTACCGGTGGTTTACTGACCAGGTCATGCAGCCTTCCGATTGCCGAGCTCAATCCCGGGTGTCAGACCGCCTGGGTTCAAATCCCCCGCTAGCCAGGTGCCCTTGGACAAGATGCTTAACGTCTCTGTGCCAGCCTGCTCCTAGCCAGGGATACAGTCAGTGTCTGCCTCCCGGGATTGTCGTGAGCGCTAAGTAAATGATACGTGGACGCTCCCCACACTGTTCCTGGCAAGTATTTCAGGGACACTGTGTGGTTCCTGGCGAGTACCTAGAAGAGGGATTACAGGCACACTGTATAGCCAGGGGAGGCGCCCGGTTGGGTGCGTGGGGACAGAGTACAGTGTGATTGCTGAGGCCAGCAGCCGATAGTGTGGGTCTGGAGTAGTCTGGGCCACGCGTCCAGGCTTCTGCGACAAGTCCCCCAGCTTTTCTGAGCCAGATTCCTCACAGTGACGGTGGAGGTAGGGATGCCACTGTAGTTCTCCTTGGGGAGGATGGCACACTTCTCTTTGGCAAGTGGCTTCAGAGAGCTTCTCCTGTCTCCTGGAAGGGCTGCCAGCCTGTGGAAGAAGAATGATTTTTGTCTTTCTCTCCCCTTTCTCTTTCTGCTAGGTCTTTGTCCTCAAATTCCACACCATTGCCCGGTACCAGCTCTCTGCCATCTTTAAGAAGTGCAAGCCTCAGTCAGAACTCGGAGCGGTGGAGGCAGCCCTGCCCGGGGTGCCCGCTGCCCCCTCTTGACCCCAGACCCCTCCCCTGCGCCTGTCCCACCTTCCTTCCCACCGCCCCACACCCCTTGACCTAGCCACCCCATTGGCCCATTGCCTGTACTCGGAAAAGGATAAAGAGGACAAGCAGACATTCCAGGTCACAGATTGCCGAAGTTTGGTCAAAACCTTGGTCTGTGGTGTCAAGACCATCACGTGGGGCATAACGTCATGTAAAGCACCTGGTGGTAATTCCGCTCTTGAATTATTTAGATGGGATGTTTTCTGCAGAGTGGGTGTTGTTCACCTTAACTGATTATGCTCTCTCTTTTCCAGAAGCTCAGTTCATTCCCAACAAGCAGTTACAGCCCAAAGAGACTCAGATTTATATAAAACTTGTGAAATATGCAATGCAGGCTTTAGATATTTATCAGGTAAGGAAGTGCCCTCAAACCAGGCTCCTGAGTGTGAGAAACGCCCCTGGGATGAGGGTGCCGGTGATGTGATGGAAGGGGTCCTAAAAGGCTCAATTTACTGCAGATTGTTTGCAGTGTTCGTGTCCCCAGATTTGCTCTTGTTCTGTAGTGTAGCATTGCTTTAACGGTGAAGATTTTCCTTGTAAGTGTCAGCGGGAGCATTTGGTGGGGGAGGCGGTCTGTGTACATGGAACGCAGTGGAAGCAAGATGGAAGTTTTACTAAATTTGTTCTCGCGTGGAACGCTTAGCAAAGCTTTTTTGCTTGTTTTAATTATTTTCCAAAACTAAGCTGAGAATAGAGAATTAAAAAGATGGGAGAACATTTATTATGTAATTCAAACGCTGTGTTTTAAACATGCAGCTGGTCCAGTTATGTTATGGAATACATTCAGAGACGCCTGGTTTTAACATCCATGGGTTTCTTCCCTGTGCTAGGTCCAGATAGCTGGAAATGGACAGACCTACATCCGAGTAGCAAACTGCCAGACCGTCAGAATGAAGGAGGAGAAGGAGGTGTTGGAACACTTCGCCGGCGTGTTCACAATGATGAATCCCTTAACGTTTAAAGAAATCTTTCAGACGACAGTCCCTTACATGGTGGAAAGAATCTCAAAAAATTATGCTCTTCAGGTATAAAACTCTGTCTTACCTTTGAACGTTGATTTTAAAATTACTTGTTGATGTGTGGAGCGCTTGGCATCTTCTTTACTTTGAGGGTGTTCTAAATGACATGCCTAAGGACGTGCTGGTAGAAAAATTTAGAGAGATGTTAGGACATAGTATTTTTTGTTCAAAATATCAAGATGTCTTGGATCAGTTTCTTTCATTAGTAGAAATTAAATATATGTTAGATGTAGGCTCCTGGTATTTGATAGTGAAGATAAAATAACGGACGTGAGTGTTTGAAGTGAACGGCCCTACTCCGTGCTTGGCAGGCTTACAAATTTTTTTCCTAGGGTGGATAATTAATTTCTTGTGCTGTCTGTTACAGATTTGATTTTGTGTTTTTGGAAAGTTCATTACTTAGTGTTAAGGCTACTTTGAGGATTGTTTTTGTCAAGCACGTTTCTCCTTTTGACAGATTGTTGCCAACTCCTTCTTGGCGAACCCTACTACCTCGGCTCTGTTCGCCACAATCCTGGTGGAGTACCTCCTGGACCGCCTGCCGGAGATGGGCTCCAGCGTGGAGGTCTCCAACCTGTACCTCAAGCTGTTCAAGCTGGTCTTTGGCTCAGTCTCCCTCTTTGCAGCTGAAAACGAACAAATGCTGAAGGTAAAGCTCGTGGAGCCAAGTGTACTTTGTTTTGGGGAGTTTTGGGTTGTGTTTTACTTCCTGTTCTCCATTTGCATGGAAATGGGAGGTGTTGTTTTTAGATTTGTAAAGTGCTCTTTGAGTTCATAGATATTCGGGCCAGTAAGGGCCTAAATGTGAAGAACGTTTCAGAGGATTCATCCATGATTTGAAATGAAAGCTTCAGAGTGCCCGTGGCAGGCAGTGGGTTGTTGTTAGTATTGCCACCGCTAATTTTTTTTTTTTAATTCCAGTTTCTTTCTCTGGATTACACAAAATAGCACATCGTTCTTATTTTAAAAATTGAGTAATGGGAAAAAAGCAAGGGAAAAATCTCTACCAGCTTCTCTTGTCCGAAGAGAAACAGGTGGCTTTTGTAACAGTTCTGATTCTGCCAGCCGTCTTCCGCTCTAACTTTGTGTCTTCGCCGTGTTCTGATCTTCCTTGGCAGTACGGGGAACATCTCATTTCGGGACCACTTGTTTGGTTTTCCTCTTTATGAATTCTAACTAATTGGCATCCCTTACTAGGACCGTTTCGGAGGGACATGTCTCCTAACGTAGTGGATGACCAGTGCAGTCTAATTCCATCCCTTCAGTTACTTGATTTTATAGCAAACGACTAAAAAAAACTTACCCATGGTTACATGTCCCACTGAAAAGGCAGCAGACGGTGGCACAAAAACCTAATAAAAATTCATTTCCACTTAAGGCAAAATATTTTAATTCCTGTAGGAAGCTGAGTATTAGCAGCAGTTTTATCTAAAGTGTGATGTCTTCGCGCGGG